TCTATCTATCTATCTATCTATCTATCTATCTATCTATCTATCATCTTTATATCTATCCATCTATATCATCTATATCGATCTATCTATGTATCATCTTTATCTTTATCTATCGATCTAATATTTTTCTATATCATCTCTCTCTCTATCACCTGTGTGGATGCTTTACAAACTCATGGTTTTTATTAATGTTGAATATCAGTGATTCCTGACCTCCATAGATACCATACATTAAAGGAATAATAAACAGACATGAAAGGAAAGCAGAATTCATAAAAGAAGTTGTGAAATGTAAAATAGAGCAGCAGAATTGGGCTTAAAACTATTCTTTACCTGCAATTTCTTTGGTTACTTTTAAGCATGGGCCTGGAACTATATCTCTAAGAAATCTCCTGATTTGGATCATGTATTCCTATTGTGGTGCCAGAGTTACTGCTGGGGCTACAGGAGGGGTGGTAACTCTTTTAAGAGGTACCTTGTAGATTTTGTTTAATTGTTCTCTTCCAGGATGTGATTGGAAAAACGGTCCGCCAGGTGTTTTGTATGCCTTTATACAGGGCCTCTAAAAGGTAGGCGATTTTAATTTTATTTTCTTTAATTCTCTTACTGCAGCTTACAGATAGTTCTCGACTTTCAACCATTAACCATTAATGATTTGTTTAGCGACATTTCGAAGTTAGAATAGCACTGAAAAAAAAGTAACTTATGACCATGTTACACAATGGGCCAATTCCTGAGTCAACAAAAGTGGGTAAGGATGGCCTTTGGATGACAGGTGAACTTCAACTCCCAGTATTCCTTGTCTTGTTCTGACTATATAAAAACTCATACAATCTTTACTTTAGGACTGTGATGGTGAATGTATGGCACGCGTGTCACGGGTAGCATACAAAGCCACTTGTGCTGGCAAGCGAGCCATTGGCAAACTTACCTCACTACACATGCATGTGCCTCACAGCTGATTTCCGGCCTGTTTGAGGCCTTTTTCGGCCTCTGGGAGGCTTCAGCTTCTGCAGCCTTTGCAGGCCAAAAAATAGGCCCGTTTCATCACTTCCTGTAATACCGGAAGTGATGAAATGGACCTATTTCTCAGCCTGCAAAAGATGCAGAAACTGTCCTCAAGCCTCGGGGTGTGTGTGAAAAAGGCCTCAAACGGGCTGGAAATCAGCTGGGAGGCGCAATGCAGGTAAGGGGGTGTGGGGGTTGCACACACATGCGCAGGGGTATGGGGTGGTGCGTGCATTGACTTCTGGGTGCTGGCACGTGAGCATGCGCATGCAAGTACGTGTACAATTTTTGGCACAGGAGCCCAAAAAGGTTAGCCACCACTGCTTTAGGACATACAGTATGCCTATTAAAAACTCCAGATTCTCTTCTAATTTCTTTGTTTCCTGTCATAGTGACGATTCGACGTCTCAGCTGCTTAAGTTGCCCTTTTTGTAAGTACATGTTTGCTTTATTACATTCAGTTCATATATCACATATTAGACTGTGTGTTTCTCGATGTCGTATAATACATGTGGATATGTCCATAATTTTGTATTTCTTTATTTTCTTGTGTTTATGTATATTGGAGGTAGAGACCATTTGAGGGCTGTATGCTATAAAATTTCAGTTTAATGTATGGCCGATTAGCGTACATTCGAAGTGACAATAAAGTTATTTTAAGACTTAAGTTCTAACTCAGGGATGCTTCGTTACTAATAAAAGGATCCAAATTGCTTTTGCAGATGGCACGACAAATCTTACAGTTTGCATTATGTTTTATTCACGATGTTAGAGAACTCAGTTTCCAAACTCTACATCCTGAGAAGGCATACAGACATTTCAAGGTACCGCAGCACCAGGGGTGGGGCTTCAAAATTTTTAGCAATGGGTTCTGTGCCCGGTTGCTGGGTGGGTGTGGCCATGGTGGGTGTGGCCTAGTCAGTCTCCTGCACCATGGTGGGGGATGGGGCGTTTTTGCCCTCCCCAAGCCTCCACCTGTACTTACCTAGCATCCAAAATGAGCCACGTGGAGACTCCTGGGAGGAGTGGGGTGAGGCGGGCAGGGCCAGCCAGGGGTGGGATTTGGGGGGTTCTCCGAACCGGCTATTAAAAATAAATAAAATTATAGGAGTTAAGATATATGATGATTAATTTTGATACAATGAGGAAAATGGGGAATCAATACTTATTGCTAAAGACATGTAAATAGTTAAAGAAATATAAGCCTGAATATTTTAATTGGAATAAATATGAAATTAAATATTTATTATAAGATTATTATTAAAGATATGTAATTGCGAATGGGATATATGTAAAATTAATATGAATTATATGGGAAAGAAGTCTTGGAATTTGAGGGGGGAAATACATATATAAGGTATAGTAACAGATTATATATATATATATATATATATATATATATATATATATA